CTCTTCCGATCTCCCCAAAACCCCAAAACCCCAAAACCCCTCAATTAAATAGTAAGCCAGATAAATTATCTTATAATCATAATCGATCAATTACTTTAAAGGGTGAGCTATCTTTACTGTTGTTTGCAATATACTGCTCATTTATGAATATATCTATTTTGCCTTTCGACAAAAAGTCTCCCTCCTCAGATTTCCTCTCTTGTGACTCAGTGTAGTTACTATTACTATTATCTTAGAGCATCTATCTAAACTTCATTTAAACGCCCAAGAGAATCAACTTCTTCTCCTCCTCTAGTTCCTGTTCCTTTTTCTCCAAATTCTCAGTCCACTCTTTCCTCACCTTTTCAATCAGTTTCTTTGTTAATGCTAAATTTAAATTAGTATTCAAGCAAAACACTTACGATTAACTCCTCTTAACTCAAGCTGCTTGATCTAGTGATCGTATTTACTGTTTATATTGCCTAGCTCGTGATTCTTTCTCTCAACATACTAGGAGATAGCAAGGAACTCAGCTTATTTAAATTCCTCATTGGTCTCTAGCTCGATATCATCTGAATTCAAGTTATTTGACTTTTGGCTGCTATCTTTATAGGAAATGGCATCCTCAGATAATAGGATCTAAGGCTTATTATTTTATGAGGAAAAGGCATCTGAGTTTTTACTTGACTCTGTATTCTCAATAATTACACTAGTTTGTATTTCATTTGATTAGTTCAAGGGAAAGAGATTCTGGTCCTTGATGAAACTTATATCATCCATGAAATCTCCAAAGTTCAAATTATCTAAATAGATAATAATAATGAAATTAGAGCTTACTCAAATTTATAGGCCTATCTTTCTATAGAAGATTCATTGCACCGAAATCATTTACTGATTAAGTCTATTATATTTATTTAATTGGATGGAAGGGGTTATGAAGATTATTTTGGAAGTTTTGTTCCTTTAGGAGAGCGCTTGTAATGTTTAGTGAGCTGCTTTAAAAATCAGAATTCTTGAGTAGATTTGAAGACTTTGATTTGCTCATAATACTGCGCTTTGACTCTTGCCTTGATTGATTCCTTTATATGAGTCTCTAATGCAAGTTTTCTTGTTGTTAAGCTTATTCCTACTGAAGAACGACCTAAGACTTCTCTTTTTACTCTATGAATTCATCCATCAAGCTATCTATTCTGAAAATCGTATCTCGTCTGACTGGAGTGTCATAGGATTAAGATATTTAAGAGTTATCTTTTTGTTATTCAAATGGAGTTTACTAAACATATCTCTATTCCTTTGGTGACTCTTTTGGTGAAGCAACTTTCAATAGCTTATTTGACAATGACTATAGCTAAGTTTAATAATTATCAATTTTACTTTTTTCTTGAGAGTTTGTCTCTTTGGGCTTAATAGAATCAATGTTCTAACCTGTTATTGTTGCTATTGTTAAGGCTGGACACTCTAATATTCATAAACTTTAGATTCTTATTCTTGCTTCTTTGGCTCCTCTGTTTTCTTTAATAGTACTGGATCATCTTAATGGTTAGATGCTTTCTTTACCATAAGCATGTATTCTTGGATGACTATAGGCTTTCTAAAGAGTATTTGAATTTTATCTCTGTATAATTAGGAATTATTAATGTCTCCCACTGAATCATAATGCTCAACTCCTATCTAAATCAAAAGTAAGACAGACCATTATCGGATTTGTGTATTACAGAATATAATGATAGGAGCATAGCAATAAGCTCTTATCCACCCAGACCTTTTTCAAGTTGCAGTTCTAATTCAATAATTGTTTTTTCGAACCCTTTAGGAAGTTTCTTGGTAACTCTTCTCTTTCTTGCAGGCTATGTTGAGACATTTTCAGGGATGGTTTCTAATTCCGAATTCGTTCTGGTTCTTTAATTTTATCCTGTTTAAGTGAAACTCTGACTGTTCATTGTATTCAATCACTTGCGTCCCTTTCCTTCTTTTGAAAGTTTCCTCGACTAATCTGCTGTATTAGTCTCGACAAATGAGCCAAATGAAGTTCTTCTTTATATTTTCAGGACATCTCGAGAAGAATTCATTCGTATTTTTAGTAATTTTTATTAAACTAGGATGAGATAAATCTAATAATGGCAATTTAAAATCAAAGGTACCTAATTTATGAGCTTTAAATTTAATTAATTAAATTGCATTATTATACTTACTGAAAAATGATAACTCTTTACGAGCTTAAAAGCCAGAGTTTTTGTAGATGTTTCATCAGAACTCCCTTCTACATAAAGAATTTCGTACTATTGACAATACTTGGATTAATAATGACCATTATATACTTCTTGCATTTTAGGAAAGATGGAGGCAATTTCCTAAGCATCACCAAGATACTCAAAGGTCTCAATTCAAACACGTTCAATTATCTAGAGTAGAATAGTAAAAGTTTGAGATTAACTAAGCTTTTAAGCAACTACTAGGCCCAGATTAGCTCAAATCAATTCTTTGATGAGTGTGTAAGGATCAGTAAGCCTTGTAAATTTGAAGGACTTGCAAAGACCTGGCCTAGTTTCTACAAACTTTAATACAACTAGAAGTTGGGATATGATTATTTAAAGGAAAAATTGAATGATATGCAGGTAGAAGTGTTTTTAGACATGGAGTATGATCAAGACTAAAGCATGAGTCTCTCTTCAGGAGACAGCTTTAGGTAAAGTACTAAGACAAAGATGAAGTACAGCGATTTCTTGAAGAAAATGAATGATTAGAGTGTCTCAGTTTCTTTAAAAGACGGGCATTAGGGAATATACAATAGTCTGATTGAAGAGATTGCATTGCCCACATTCATTATAGAGTTCAATGATATTGATAGTATAGAGCTGATTTAGGGAAAGGTTTTGGTGAATCCTGCTCAATATGATAGAAAAGAGCAATTCTTATGCTCAATTGATGGTGTTGTGCAAATTAAACTTATCCCTCATGTATACAAGCAAGAAGTTTACGCTGGAAAGCCTAAAATTATTGTAGATTAAGATGCCTCCCCAGATTAAGAGCCAGCCAGAATTAATCTAGAACCTAACTAATCACCAATTGATTTCTTCTAGCCAGACAAGGAAAACTATCCTTTATACGGAGATATTGAAACTAAATATACAGTGCTACTTCATGAGGGTGATTGCCTCTATATTCCAGCTTTCTATTTTAACTAATATGTTGCTAAATCACAAGGGGAAAGCAGTGCTTTATCAGTGTCTTTAAAATACAAATCTAACTCTGAATTACTAGGAGGCTTTTACAGTGCAATAGAAAAGAACATACTTCACTGATTGATTTATTAAGCATTTATTGTCTTTCAAGTATAATCAGATCAATGTGGGTATGGGGTTTTGGGGTTTTGGGGTTTTGGGG